AAAAGAATTGGTCAGTGTTCATCCATTTCAGGAGGTGACATGATCAGAAACCAATGGTACTGAAGGAAGAAGTCAAAGCTTCACTGAAGGAAGTGGTGAAAAACAAGGGTCCAGGAATTGATGGAATACCCATTGAGATGTTTCAAAAAATGGATGCCACACTGGAAGCACTCACTTGGCTATGCCAACAGATTTGGAAGACAGCTACCTGTCTTGGAAGAGATCAATATTTATACCCATTGCAAATAATCTGAAAACCTGGACTATATGAAGAAGAATGTGGCATCAGGGTTGGAGGAAGAATCATTAACAACCTGTGATATGCTGACAACACAACTTTGCTTTCTGAAAGTGAGGATGAGTTGAAGCACTTACTGATGAAGATTGAAGACTACAGTCTGCAGTATGGATTGCATCTTAATATAAAGAAAACAAAAACCCTCACAACTGGATCAATGAGCAGTATCACGATAAATGGAGAGAAGACTGAAGTTGTTAAAGACTTCATATTATTTGGTTCTACAATCAACACCAATGGAAGCAGTTGTCAAGACATCAGATGATATATTATTGCATTGGACAAATCTGCTGAAAGAACTCTTTCAGGTGCTGAAGAGCAAGGATGTCTCCTTGAGGACTAAGGTGCGTCTGACACAAGTCATGATATTTTCAATCACCTCATATGCATGTGAGAGCTGGGCAAGGAATAAGGAAGACTGAAGAAGAGTTGATGCTTTTGAGTTGTGGTGCTGGTGAAGAATGCTGAAAGTACCATGGACTGCTAAAAGAACTAACATATCCATCCTGGAAGAAGTGCAGCCAGAATGTTCTTTGGAAGCGATATGGCCAGACTTCGTGTCACCTACTTTGGTCATGTTGTCAGAAGGGACCATTCCCTGGAGAAGGATATCATGCTTGGTAAAGTGGAGGGTCAACAAAAAAGGGGAAGGCCCTTAACAAGATGAATTGGCACAGTGGCTATAAGAATGAGCTTAGATATAGCAAGGATCATGAAGCTGGCATAGGATCAGGTAGTGTTTCGTTCTGCATACATACATAGGGTTGTATATAGGCTCCCTATGAGCTAGAGATGACTTGACAGTAGCTAACAACAACAACAGGAACCTCAGGGCCCTGGGGGTTTTAGAAGCTGCTTTGACTGCGCATTGGGGCTTATACTTTAAAGGGTTCCCTGGTGAGTCTCTTATGTGCATGTGTATGTTGTTGTTGTTGTTGTTGTTAGGTGCCATTGAGTCGTCTCTGACTCATAGCAACCCTATGCACAGCAGAACTAAAACACTGCCTGGTCCTGAGCCAGCTCCGTGATCCTTGCTATACTTGAGCCCATCACCACTGCCACTGTGTCAATCTATCTTGTTGAGGGCCTTCCCCTCTTTCGTAGACCTTCCACCTTACCAAGCATGGGCACCTCACCACATCCCCACAACCACCTCATGACATGCATATGGGTACCTTTTTTTTTTTTTTAAAAAAAAAAAAGAAAAACAAACACAGACAAAAGTAAAGTGAAAAGCGTATAATGAATCTCTATGTACTCATCACCCAGCTTTAGCAATTATTAATGTATGACTAATTTTGTTTAGGTGCTCTGGTAGCATAGTGCTTAAGGCACCTGACTGCTAACCAGAAGGCTGGCAGTTCAAATCCACCAGCCACTCCTCGGAAGGAAGGTTGGACAATCTACTTCCGTAGTGATACCACCTCAGGAACCCAAGGAAGGGTCGCTATGAGTCGGGTCCGATTCGACGGCATATAACAACAACAACGAATTTTGTTTAAAAAATGCTTTGGTGGCTTGGTGATTAAAGCATTTGGCTGCTAACCAAAAGTTCCACGGTTCAAGCCCACCAGCAGCTCCGCAAGATAAAGATGTGGCAATCTGTTCCCATAAAGAGCTACAGCCCTGGGAAAGCTATGGGGCAGTTCTGCCCAGTCCTGTAGGGTCATGATGAGTGGGAATTGACTCAGTGGCAGTTAGCTTGGTTATTGGTATTCTTGTTTCATCTATTAATTAACCCCATTCCCATCTCCCCTCTCCCCTTTGGTGAATTAGTTTCAAAGCAAATCCTAGGCATAATTTTACCTGTATACCCTTCAGTGTGTATAACCACAATACCATTATCACAACTTTGAGAAATTAATATAATTATAGGGAAATCTTTCTAATTCAGGAAAGCTATTGGTATATAGGGAGCTCTGGTAGCATAGTGGCTAAGGCACTTGACTGCTAACCAGAAGGCTGGCGGTTCAAACCCACCAGCCACTCCTCGGAAGGAAGGTTGGGC